ATTTATTTATGATACTTGGGGCATGGGTGCATTTGCTGTGGGGGAAGGAGACCCCTTGGCCCAGGAAGCTGGCAAAGGAGAGGTTTCAGAAGGAGATTTCTCAGAGAAGTTTGGATGGTTTGGATGAAGTCCCTGTGTGCTTCCAGACAGGTCCAGAAGGTCCTTTCCCACCCTGGGGCAGCATTGAACTCCACCTCACCCCTTCCTGGCAGATGTTTGGCCACTGCACAAACTCTCATTTCTGCCATTAAAGGGGAATTATTTGTGGTCACTGGAGCGTCTCTGGTCACGCTTTTTGTGGTTGGCACCACAGGGGCTGGCACAAAACATGCTCCCTGTGTCCAAGAGTTTACAGTCCTACCAGTGTCCTTCGTGAGTCCATTTTCCAAAGAGATCAGCATTAGCTAAAAAATCCTGTGCTCACCCCCTGGGTCTTGCCATGGGTCAGACTCAAAGGGAAGAGCTTGAAGTGGTGTCAGCACAGAGGGGTGACCTCCCATCAGGACATGGGCTTGGAGAAGTCCTGAAGGGATGCATCCCATTTTTAGGCAAAGGGAGTGATTTATCCCTTCTGCAGGAGGGATATTATGGGGGCAACAAGGAGCCAGTACTCCCCATAATGTGTCTCCTGGTCCTTCCATGGAACACGGGAGCACCCAGGGGGCTGCCTGCAAGTTTTCCCCTTTGCTGGTTCTCCCAGGAATTTGGAGGGCTCCTGCTCCAACCTCTCCGTGCCTCATGAGCTTTTGGGCAACGACCTGAAAGTGATGCAGGATTAGAAATGAGTTTGTGGTCATACATCTGAGTTTGAGCTCCTCCTGGTCTCCTGGTGTGACCCTGGTGAGGCTCAGGAATGCTCAGGGGACTGTTTCTTACTGATTTCAGTGATCTCTGTGTTAGTGTTTCTGGCCAAGGTTCAAACCAGCTGAACTGGGAGCGGGAGGCTGGTCCTGGTGCCCTTCTCTCCAGGACCCAAATCTGGTTAAAGGAGTCAGGGTGAGATGGGATGTTGGGAAGGAATTCCTGGCTGGGAGGGTGGGGAGGGGGTGGCCCAGGTTGCCCAGAGAAGCTGTGGCTGCCCCTGGATCCCTGAAAGTGTCCAAGGCCAGGTTGGAGCAACCTGGGCTAGTGGAAAGTGTCCCTGCCCATGGCAGGGTGTGACACTGGATGGGCTTTAAGATCCCTTCCAACCCAAACCATTCCATGATTCTCTGATAAATCCAAACGTGCACTTCTGCATTGTTTTTGTTACAAAGTCAAGTTGCAACCATGGCAAAGTATGAGCAAGTTAAATGTACTCCCAGGGGTCTGCAGACAACCAGAAACAAGGGCTCTGCAAGAAGTCAAATGACATCCTCAAGGTGAGAAAGTGTCACTAGAGGACTCAGCCATCAGTGCATGGGGAGATGCTTTGCACCATTTAGTACCTCCTCATTAAATCTGGTTTTTATAGATGTATTCCTTGTACTCAGGCTCTTTGAAATGCCTAGAGCTGTCTGATAGCCATGGTCTTAATAAACTTAATAAACTGGTGCAGCAGTTGTTTCTTAGGATGGATTATTTGGGATTTACAGGAAGAAGAGGATGGCTAAGTCTGGGAGAATAAGCTGGCTGTAGAACACCCTCGTGTTTCAGACATCTAGGCTGGGGAGAAGAAAACTACCTCTTCTGGTACTGCAAAAGTGCCTGATATCAGTTAAAACTGAACAACCAACCTCTCTGGAATCCAGCTGATGCTTAATTTGTATGCCCAGAACCCACCCCAAGCACTGCTTACCACTGAGCAGAGCAACTCGAAAAAGAATCGATGTTAAACTGAGCTTAATAAACTCAGGGCTGCTGCCTTAATAGTCACACATGGACTGCAGTGCAGTCACCTCCCTAATAGAGTGGTGACATGGAGAGATGGACAGAAGGCCCCTGAGAGGCTCTTCCATACTCCATCAGAGCTAGAAAAAAGGATATATGGTTGTGCTCTGGCTTCTTATCCCCCTCCAACTCCATGGATAGAATCACAGAATGGTTTGGGTTGGAAGGGACTTCAAAGATCATCCAGTCCCACCCCCTGCCATGGGCAGGGACACCTTCCACCAGCCCAGGTTTCTCCAAGCCCTGTCCGACCTGGCCTTGGACACTTCCAGGGATCCAGAGGCAGCCACAGCTTCTCTGGGCAACCTGTGCCAGCCTCTCCCGACCCTGCCAGCCAGGAATTCCTTCCCATTGTCTTTCCTAACCCCAACTTGATCTTCCTCTCCAAAACTAAGCTGTGGGGTAGGACTTATCCCCTCAGTGTCCCTTCCTTAAAGTGGGGCTCAATCCTGTCTTTGAAGGTGCGTTGGAAAAACATTTGAATCCAGTGGCAGCCCTGAAGGCAACAGGGATCCATTTGCCTCTTGGGGAAGGAAGAGGGACCTCGTGTCCCGTGCTTGTACATCCCAGTTTGTGTTAATCCAGCTGCTGCCAGCGCTGAGAAACTCTGCCAACATTTGGGCTGGAGTGGACGTGTGTCTGAGCGTGATGGATGTGCTGATTTTCCCTTTCTTTCTGGAGTTCAAACACTTTGCATTGATTTGTGTCTTCGTTTGGGTGTTGTACGAGCGGCTCAGACGAGGCAGCTCTGCCCGTCGTCCATCACAGCCTCCCAGTGCTTTGTCTTCATTTGGACTTGGCTGCTCCTTGGAGGAATTGTGGCCAGGCCTCTGCCAGGCAGCGCTGGGTCTGGAGCTGCTGCCGGGAACACTTCACCAGAGGCTCATGAAAAAAAAAAGGGACAAAAAAATGACATTATGGACATTAAAACCAACCCTCTGCTCATTGAGCCTGGCTGCTGAGTACAGCTCATCATCTGGGGGGCCAGGAGGGCTGGTCTCACATGGAAGGGGGTGGATGAGATCCCTTGAGTGTGTGGATAATGCAACACATCTCTGGATGAGTCCTTTGCTCCAGAGCACGGAGAGATTTATCTATTTATCTCTTCCCTCTTAAGTTCTCTGTGTTACTGCAGCTTGTGATCCCTGTTTATCCCCATCTCCATTAAACACGGAACAAAAGCAGGGTGAGCACCAGAGTTTGTGCTTAAGGTGCCTCTAACAACCTCCTGGAAGCACCACTTACTGGGTTGGGAACTTGTTTGGGCCACCAAACCCTTCCTCAGCTTCCTTGCTGACACCAGGTCTCTGATGAATACAGCAGTCTGCTTCCCCATGAGACCAGTTTTACTTTTTTCTTCCTCACCAGGAAGCTGGACAGGAAGAATTTGGAGCTCTTGGTGCTCACTGGATTTATTTCCTCTCCCAGAGCAGTCTGGCAGGAGCAGGAGAGTTAGCCCTACCTAAGGACAATGATCAGAGAATCATGGAATTGTTTGGGTTGAAAAAGACCCATAAGATCATAGAGGCCAACTGCCAACCCAGCAGTGAGTGCCAAGGCCACCACTGCCCCATGTCCCCAAGTGCCACATCCACAGGGATTTGAAACCCTTCCAGGGATGGGGACTCCACCCTGCCCTGGGCAGTTTTTTCCCAATATCCAATCTCGACCTCCCCTGGCACAGCTTGAGGCCGTGCCCTCTCCTCCTGTCCCTTGTTCCCTGGGAGCAGATCCCGACCCCCCTGGCTCCCCCCTCCTGTCAGGGAGTTGCAGGAGTGAGAGCAGACCTTGCTGCAGCCCCGTTGGAGTGTGCGTGTGTGCACGTGCTTGGACATCTCTCCCCCCCCCACAGCACAAATCCTCGTCAAACCCAGTAATTGCTATTCAAACACCATCATTTCCCTCTGTACAAAAGCCTGCAGAACTCTTGCTGGTGTTGTTCACTCTGGATCCAGCCAGGAGTGGTTTGTACAGAGGCACTAATTGGTCCCAGTGTTGGCGGCCATGGCAGAAGGGCCAGGAGCCCAGTTATCCAGGGAAGCTGGTTCTCCTTCCCCCACAGAGATGCACCGAGGCTCTCTGTGCTCTGTGCTCACACAGCACTGTTGCTCTGGAGACAGAAAACACTTGCTGGAAAACCCTGTAACATGAAAACTGTCTCCGATGAGAAATACCCCCCAAAAATCCTCTGTTTGGAGGCACTAAATAAACCTTCCCCAGTCAGGCTGGTGGGACATCTCTTCCCTGGTCACAAGCCAGTCCAGGCCCTGGTATTGAAGCACCTTCCAAGAGTGGCTTTGTGTGGCACTAACACCACCAATTCCCAGAAAAACGAGTTACACAGGGCACTGGGGTGTTGGGGGACCTTCTCAGGCTGCAGCTGGAACATCTTGGTCTGCCTTGGCTCGTGCTCTGATGCCTGGGATGTGTCTCAGGGTGGAAGATGTGGCCTGAGGGGACAGATGTCCACACCAGCAAGGCCATAACCAGTTAGAGCTAAACAAAAGGTCAGGCTGATGAGATCAGGTCTCTCAGAGCTGAGTTACCGGAGGGAGGATCAATCCTCCCACTATAATGACAATTTTGAGGCGTCTCTTCCCCTCCTACCACCTGGGAGGCTTTATTATGACTGTTGGTTAGGTTTTATTCATTAAATAGCAGCGGTGGGGAATGAAAAAGTCAAGAAAAAGCTCCCACTTCACCAAACCTGCAGGAAAATCACTCAGGGACCTGCCCTGACATCCATGGGCTCCAAGACCTTTGGGAAGACACTGGTGAGGGTGGGAAGGGAAGGGTCCCAGCTTGGCTCTGTTGCTCATTGCCTCTCTTCAGGGAGTGGTTTTTATTTGCTTTACTTGAAACATTGTTGTTCATTAGGCTTTTTTTTATTTTGAATACTTTGATGGTTGAGGGGTTTTCCAGAGTAAAATCTTTCCCCCCTTTTTTTTTTTTTATTTAATTTCGAGGGATGTGTTTGAAGCTTTAGAGGGGTTGGGAGTTGCACAGCAGCATTTGATTTTATTTTTACAGCAAGGGGCTAAGCTCTTTTAAAGCCTCCATGGTCTTAAAAGACACATCTTCAAGCATCCTTGTGCTCTTTCTCATGCCACCCACCCCTGGGGTATCCCTGGAATTTAAGCCCCAGCAGGCATTGGCAGCCTTGATTGTGCTGGGAACAGTGAATCCCGTGGCTCTCTTTTCCCAGACATCCCCCCTTCCCTCACCCCATGGATTAGGGACCTGAGCTTGCCCAGCCCTGTGTTCACCCATCAGCTCCACGTAGCTTAGCAACCATCAAATCCATGTTTGCCAACGCTGACATTCCACGGAGGAGACCGGGAATACTCAGCATCCCACTGAAAACAGTGAAGCTCCGGTGGGTGCCCTGGCTGTGGATGTTTCCCTGGAAATTTAGGGGCTTGCTGGATATGGATTGCAGCCAGCAGAGCAAATTCCAGCCTCTCCATCCCGAAGATACAACTCTGGAGACAAGGAGCCCAGGTAAGGTGGGAGCCACAGGTAAGTAAGTGTGCAGGTGGATGATCACCTTGCAATAAATGCAGGGAAATCCCAGATTCAGCTTCCTGAGACACCATGGAGGGTTTTTCCAGCACAAAGAGGGAAAAAAACCCCCACAACAAACCAGAACCCAGAACCCTGAGGGGAAACAAGATCTGACCTATTTTTATCTCAAGAACTGACTCCAGCTGAAGACTTGACTCCCCAGAGAAAAGCAAATTCTCCAGGCCAAATGTGACATGTCACGTGAGGAAGGATGTGGTTTTTCCACTTGGATGTCCCTCCCTGCCTGCATGCAGCTGACTTGGTGCTTGCAAAGATGGGAAGATATTTTTAGCCCTGAAATGCAGACCCAGGGCCAGGGACTGGCTGAGCCTGGCTTGAAATCATCCCGTGCTTCCCAAGGTGAGGAATGTCTGGGTGGGCAAGCTCAGCACACGGTGCCTGTGTTGGGCAGTGGGCTAATGGCCATAAATGAATATAAAATGAGATTGAATACTTTGGTAACATAACACACTGATGGCATGGAATAAAAAGTAGGAAGCAACTTAAAACCATGTCATTCACCTGGAGTAACATCAGGGTAATCCACGTTCATGGATCAGGGATGCATCTAATGACAGGGGTCAGGTGGGAATTGTGCTTTGCAGCCCTGGTTGATTTTTTTGGTCAGCTTTTTGGAGCACCATCAGCCCCAGACTTGATGGAGGGGTTGGTGCTCAGCTCCCTCACCTGCCTTGGTGTTGGTGTTTGTCCATCAGTGAGAGCTTGATTGGGTCCATCTCCACCAGTTTGTCTGGGATCCTGACAGGGAGCTGTAGGATCAGAGCAGATCTCTGTTCTGGGAGCAAATCCTCTCGCCAGCTGGAGGGAGATCCCGTTATAACCCTTGAACTTGCATCTTTCCAGCCCTGCTTTGGCCAACCCTCCTCTGAGAACACCTCAGGTGTGTTCCCCTGTTCCCCCGTTCCCCTGTGTGGGCTGCACACCAGTAGGTGCTGCCTGGTGCTGGCTGAGTGAGCCCTCCTGATGGGCTATTTCCCATTATCCCACCAACACACTGTGTTATAAATGGCATTCCCAGGGCTGTGACAGTGGCCACAATCATTGTTCAGGTCCCTGCCTACTCTCAAACCGAGCCTTGCTTTGTCTTTGCCTCTGCAGGGCCCTGACGTGCTAAAATTTTCCCCGAGTTTCCCTTACCCAGGTAGGAATGGGAAAAGCAGCAAAACCCATGCAGAAGCCAGAGTTCATTAGCACCACTGCCCTGCAGCTCAGCCTCTCCTCCTCCTCCTCTCCTGGGCACCTGTAATTCCACCCTGGAATCCGCTGCATCCCGACATCCTCGACGCCTCGGTGCTGCCGGGCATTTCCAGCAACAAGGCTTTGGGTGAGTGGCTCCATCAGAGTTTTATTCTGCCACAGGCTTCAATTTTTGTGAGCTGCTTTATCCTCACAAGGATAAAACTCGACTCTGACCTCTAATGATCCTCCTAATGATATGAGGGAAAAGGAACGATGATGAGCTGCCGAGGCTTAGCCCATCTTCTGGATTTTTTGGAGATCCCTGAGGAGCAGGAGGCTGAGCGAGGAGGAATGTGGACTCCTTTTGTTTTCTACTTTGCCTGTTTATTAAGCCTTTTTTTCCTTAAAAGCAAGGAAGAAAAAGAGAAGTACCAACGTGCATCTCGAGCACTGAAGTGCTGTGTACCAGGAAATGACAAAAAGATATTTATTACATTTATTACTTGCCCGGGTACCCAAGTTTTTTAAGCACACGGAGAGTTCCTGGGCACATATCAAAGCAAAATGATCACAGTGGAGTAGGAAGGGCAAAGATGAAGAGGGGAGGCAGGGAGGAGGATATGGTTTGCTTTCACCCCTTTCGTCCGGGTCTCGTGAAGGTCCTTTGGTCACCCAGAAATCGCCCTGTGTGGCTTGAATGGGCACCATCCTTTAAAAACCACGTTCCCTGGTCAAGGTGATGTGCCTTTTGGGAGGGTTTTGTGACACAGCAGACCCCTCTTGCAGCCCACAGTGCTCCAGCTGGCCTCCTATTTAATGTGGCTCTCACTGCTGATCGATGGATTCAGCAACATCCACCCTCATGCAGAACTCGTGGGATCGTGCTCTGATTCCAGAGCAGGAGCTTGGAATAAAAGGGCACAGCCAAAACATATGTACAAACACACCTCTGCAGAGGCTGCTTTTGTAGTCACCACTCGGGGTGGAACTTTAACTTCAGGTTAGGGGTAAGAATGTTGTTCTTTCTGTAAGACACAGCCCAAGGTCCAAGAATATTTCTTTAATCACTTTATCCCACCGTGGATGAGGTATTTGCTGTTAATTCTTTATCCCATTCGTGCCTCTCTGCGCTCATTAACTCTTTGGTGAGACATTAGGGAATCACAGAGTAAAACAGGCATTCTGGAAGGGATGGGATTCTGACTGGGAGCAGTTCCTGGCTGAACCTTGAAGTCAGGAGGGGAAGATTTTGATTGTATTGGCAGCACTTCCTAATGCGCATTGCAATTTGGGAGGCATAAACCCTAGGGTTTGTAATCACTGGGTGCATAAAAACTGCATTTCATATATTATTCTCATATTTAACCTTTTTTTTTTATTCCTTGTTTCTTTACGTGCCAGTTTTTTACAAGCCTGAGATTCCCATGAATAGAGAATAAAGTTGGAATCTGCGCTGGCAAAATAAACAGGTCAGGATGAGACAGCTTAGGTGGTTAGTGGAGATTAGGTTTTCTGGGATCCACCTGTAACTTGCACCTAAAAATGAGTGTGGATGAAAAAATAAACCTATTAGAGGTGTTTCCTGTGTTGTTCTGTGATGTCTTTTATCCATCGTGTGGCTTCAGTCACCAAAATGCTTCTGTGGTCTTCCCTCAGATTTGTAAATCTGAATTTGAGTGGTTTGAATGACAACTGAAATTACTCAAGGAAGATACCTGGTTTTCCCTGTCCACCACCCCTTTTCATTTAATTAATTAATTTTAAAAACTCTGATTGTCTCAGGGCATGTGCCAAAGTTCTTTCTCGTTAGACCAAACCCAAAGTCTTTAATCACCTTCTTTTTTTTTCTTTTTTTAATAAATGGAGTATCAGACTGTGACCACGAGCCAGATGAAAAGCAGAATGTGGGAAGACAGGGCCGGAAATTACTAATTGCCCTCCAGTTAAAGGACTCAGCAGGAATGGGCCCAGCGATGGATAAATGGCTATTCTTGAGTGATTATAGCTCTGGATGCTGAACACAAAGTTCCTGCTGAAAGTTTCATCAAAACCTTCCCGTGAAACCTGTTTGTTTTGAAATATTGGCATTTTGTGATGAATAACAATGTCACTGGAAAAAGTCCTGTTGGAATATTTGCAGTGGAGTCCCCTGAGCCTGTGTATTAATCCAGGTAACATGTTCATTTTTATAAGGTTTATTCTTCCCCAGAGGCCGAACCAAAGAGCTTCCAATTTACCCAGGTCATTAGTGATTTATATGATAATTGGATCTAAGTTGATTTTAACTATTTGCTTTAAATCTCTGGGGATTTGTGTTCTTGGACACTTTAATGCCATTGGAAATTTCACTGATTAAGCAAAGACAAGTATATGTACTTAATTAGTCCTGAAACCAATTAGTTCTTTGTCAGTCAAATTAATCTTGTGTCTGGGCTTTCAAAGAGTTCTAAGAATTTGGGTGCTGACCTTTGTGGGCTTGAGGGTGGAGTTGGTCCCAAATCCAGCCTGGGGGATGGTGCATCCACCCGGGATGCTCAGCTTTGTCCTCCCTGGTCATCATCTCCATGGAAAAGCACCTCTGAGGATGATGATGGAGCAAATCTTGAAGGCAGGAAGGCAATAAGCACAGTAAACTGCACTGTTGGGTCTTTCCAACATGACAGTGCCCAGGAGGGGCTTTCTAAGATCCTTTCAACAGGATCCACAGGTTGCCTGTGGGTGTCTGATGAAGCCTGGGTGTATTAAACATGACCTTCTTTTCATGCATAATGCAAGTTAATACCTATTCCCAGTCTCCTACACTAGGATTTGGATGGATGTCATAGAATCTACAGGATGGGTGAGGTTAGAAAGGACCACTGGAGGTCATCTAGCCCAGCCTCTCTGCAGGATCCACTCAGGATTGTGTCTGACAACTTCTGAGTATCTCCAGAGAAGGAGACTCCACAACCTCACTGGGGAGCCTGTTCCCAGATGCCTCCCATCCCTGCAGGACCTCCTTAGGATGGTGACGACTCACAGTGACAACCCTTTCTGCTGGGGGTGGTGACCTGTGCCTTTGCCTGTGGGACCCAGAAGGACACTGGCATGGTGAGCACCACACATGCACCAATAAAACACCACTGTTTTCCTTCGATTTGCTGTGATCCATTTTTGCCATCGAAAAGTTTTTGGGTGTATCAGAGAACAGACCCAGAGGCTGCGTCTCTAGGCCTGAAACTTGAGAACTGCCAAAATTTTGGCCCTTTTTCCAGGATTGAGTTGGGCAAGAGCAATACATGGAGAGGCATCAGTAAGACCAAGGTCCCCAAAGGTGAGGAGAAGGGTGCAGATGTGAGGTCTGCATTTAACCTGCACAGAGGAGGAGGAATCTGTGCTGTGGAAGGCTGTGATGTGATGATGAAGAAGGTATAGGAGAAGAGGAAAGTGTGGCAGTAAAACTACACAGTTCCTCTTGTTTCCTCCCAGTCCTTGGCCATCTGATCTCCTGGAAAGTCCAGATTTGGATTTTAGGCTCGAGCACAACAACACAGGCTCCAGCCAAATTTATCCTCCACCCTTTGATCCTCCCACAGCTACGAGCACTTCCAGTGGGCATCCACAGCAGCTGGGTATGACCCTGTGCTGCCCAGGAATAGACAGAATAAGCCATTTTTCCAGGGGTCAGGGAGGAAGTCTGAGCTGGAGCCAAGAATAGAGCCCCGCTCCGTTCAGCTCCCGGCCGCTCCCTGCTCCTTTTCTTCTTCTCAGGGAGCAGCAAGACAAATAGCAGGACACATCGAATCTGCTGGGATCAGGAGCCGAGTCAAAGGTCAGGGCTTGGGCACAAAGAGGGTTCTGTTTACAAGGCACTAATCTGGGCTGCTGCTGAGCACGAGAATGGGTTTGGACGCAGATGGGGCCGGGGCAGGAGGTCGTGGCAGTGCGACGATGACCATAGAATTGTAGAACCACAGAATCACAGAATCATAGAATCATAGAATCATAGAATCACAGAATCAGCTGTGTTGGAAAAGCCCTCTGAGATCATCCAGACCAACCCTTGATCCAACCCTGCTGTGGTTCCCAGCCCATGGCACTGATGCCACATCCAGTCTGTCCTTAAACACCTCCAGGGACGGGGACTCCACCCCCTCCCTGGGCAGCCCATTCCAATGCCTGATCACTCTCTCTGTAAAAAATTTCTTCCTGATGTCCAACCTGCCCCTGCCCTGGCCCAGCTTGAGGCCATGCCCTTTTGTCCTACTGCTGGTTCCCTGGAGCAGAGCCCGACCCCCCCCGGCTCCCCCCTCCTGTCAGGGAGTTGCAGAGAGTGAGGAGGTCTCCCCTGAGCCTCCTCCTCTCCAGGCTGAACAATCCCAGCTCCCTCATGATGATCTACTTTGGAGGAAAGACACTTGGAGAGATGGGAGTGTGAAGGGATGAATGGGTGGACATTGTGCAGGTTGCAGCTCTGCTGATGGGACAGCACATCCTGCTGTCATGGTCACCAGGAGGAGCCAAGGGTGGCTCAAGTTTCCCTTCTAACCCTGACTCTTGGTGTCACCTCGCACCACCTGAGCAATGTGGGTGTGTCCTGCTGGCTGTGCACCCCCACAACCTGAGTTTTCATCCCTGTAGATCTCTACACCACAATTCCCATCACTTTCCCATCGTTTCTGTCATGCTGCAGCCTCATGGAGGGTCTAATTGCCCTTGCTGCTCCAGCACTTCCATCCACCCTCACCCTTCCTCGGTAGCTGGGGGTCTTTGAGGAGATGTGCAGCACTGTCCTTCTGACCAGGGGAGGTTTTAGAGGGTCCCCTGTATAATCATTTTTGGAAGATGAAGGGGACAGCAGCCTGGTGTAGATCCACCAGAGTGAAAGGCAGGGAGAGCTAAGAGGGGAAGGAAGCAGAACCAACTCTGGCTTTGAGGTTTAACTCAGGCTCTCTCTGTAGCATCTCTTTAGTGAATCCATGCACTGGTGGGTGCTGCTCGCTGGCCTTCAAGCTGCCTTTTCACCACCCTGGTGTGCTGCCTCCAGAGGGGACTTTGTGGGGCTCATTGGAGGCCAGACTTACCAGCCTGTGCTGAGGGGCTGCAGCAATGTGGCTTTTTCGTCCACTCAGCACCATTTGGAGCCCTTTACTCACAGAGAACGACCTGGAGCTCCAAATCCCACCCTCAGACTTGAGCATTTGGTGCCTGTGTGGGCTTAGCTGGTTTTTGATCACTGAAGGTCCCTAAAATGCATATGTATTAATGACTGGCCATTGTTATTCCTCTGATAACCATCCCCACGGTGCAGGACAGGGGAACAGGGTCATTGCCCTCCTGGCATCCCTGCAACCTTCCCCATTCCCACAGAAGCACAGAATGTGCTGAGTTGGAAGGGACCCACAAGGATCATCGAGTCCAATCCTCAGCCCTGCACAGGACCATCACCAGGATTCACACCATGGGCCTGAGAGGATCATCCAAACACTCCTTGAGCTCTGGCAGCCTTGGTGCTGTGACCACTGCCCTGGGGAGCCTGTTCAGTGCCCAACCACCCTCTGGGTGAAGACCCTCTTTCTAATATCCAACCTAAACCTCCTCTGACCCCTGAATCTGTGTGACCTTCTGAATCTGTGTTGTCTCATCCTGCACAAGCCTCTGAACTCCATGTTGGAGGACAGAATTTGGTGGGTGCTGTCTGGTCAGGCGGTTCTGCAACTAAACAGTGATGCCTCCCCCCCCTTAGGACAAACCTTTTGAAGGATACAAATTATGAAATTATGGAAGTATGAAATTATGAGACTCATAATTTCCCAGCACGCAGCCTCTTGTCCTGGGCCCAGCTGGAGAGGAGCTGTCTGCGGAGAGCTCGGGTTTAATTCACTCCCTGGCTGTATCATCTGCTCCCACGTGCCAGTTACCATTAGAAGCCTCTTCTAGGATGTCTGAGAGCTGTCATTCATTACACACAGAAACTATAAGATGAAATCTATAGCTGCAGTTCAGTGCAGGGTAATTCACCAGGGCTTGCCTGGTGGAGCCGGGAGCTAATGCTGTTAAAACACGACTCTTCCTGCAGAAAGCAACCCTTTAATGACTCTCAAATGCAGCTTAGACAACAACTACACCACTTACATCCTCTCCATAGACACAGACTCTGCTAAATGGATTAACTGCTTAGTGAACTCTCCCGGTGTGGTGGCCAAGCTCCGACCTTATAATGGACCAATTAAAAGGTCATCGTTACTTATGGTCGCAGCTTCCTTCCAGAAAAGCTGCCACGCTCCCCTCTGGCACTGCAGGCCACCAAAGGCAGCTATTGACAGTTTAATGTGTTAAAAATGGAGCAATAAATTAATCTTCTGGATTCCTCTTTCCTTTCTGGAAAGCACCAAAGGGTTAATGCCAGAGATGGCCGCAAAGGAAGCACAGGCAGCAATAAAACCTTGTTGCCAAGGCTTTATCACGAAACTCTTTCCATGGGGAGAGGTGTCTTGTCACCTGGTCTGTCACTGAGCTCAGCCAGGCTGGGTTCACACCAGACAGCTCCTGTGCCCATCCAAGTGGTGCCATCCTTGGGCTTGCCAGCTAGAAAAGGCTTTTCATGTTGTTCCTGAGCAGAACAAAGCAAACCAGCCCCTACCAGGCCTTGTCCACGGGGTTTGTTACACCCTGGTCCTGCCCCATCTCACAACGGGAAGGTTCCCAGGTCCTTGCACGTGTGACGCCCCTCAATCCATGGTTAAATCTCCATGTCCACTGCAGGAGAACCCAAGAAATTTCTGTGCTACATACCAAGCCACCCAGATGGCTGATTTCAGGGATGCTTGTTTTCCCCCAGGCTGTTTAAAGAAACCCAGCTGGGGAGGAGAGATGAAACCTTCCCCATCTTTGGAGGACTCTCCCATCCTGCTTTTTTTTTTTTTTTAATATTTTTTTGGCAAGCAGCAGGGGGGTTAATCCCAAGCAGAAGCATTGCAATCCTTCTGCTGTCACCTGCCTGTCGGGTGCCTAACCTTGAATGATGCTCCCTGGCATCCCAAAGGACTTCCTCTGATTGATTGATCCCTATCCAAGTTGGCGGATGAGGGAGGATATTTACTACACAGTGGAGAGCCCTTCAGAAGGATGTTTTATTAAGGCAGCTCAGAAAACAGGAAATGCAATAAAGCACCAGAAGACAAACCAAGAGAGGTAAATGTTCCCTCCTGCCTGTGGGAATGGACCAAGAGCCGTAATCCCCCGGCCTGCACACTCACATAGGTCAATCCTTGGCCAGCACCTGCAGAAAGGGGTGGCTTCTGCTTTCCAGCTGATGTATTGACCCAATAAAAGGTATTATTACATTGCCTATCACTGCTGACTACGGGAGAGTGTTTTGAAGAGAGTGATGGCTCCCTTCGGAGAGGCACAGAGCAGGAATGAGCGTGTATGGATGCGGGAGAGATTCCTCCTTCTGGAGAGAGCAGAGCTCTCCAAAGACAGTCAACTGGATTGTTTTTACTGCAGTATATCAGGAACAGCTTCTTGTCTTCTGGAGTGGATTTTGGAGAAAGGGGAAGGCAGCTTTTTGTGGTTTTAATTGAGGCGCAGTCTGTAACAGCACAGCAAGTTTAGATCCCAAGGGCGGATGTTCTCTGCTCCTGTTTGTTCCAGTGAGGCAGCTCCAAGTCTGTTTTTATCAGCAAATTGACTCCTGCAGATGATGTGGGGTGAGCCCTCGGGTCAGAAACGTGCTCTTTGCCACCGCAGGTGTGCCTGTGTGCGCTCTCACACACACAGAGGCACACGCCTGCTCCTGCTCACCTTTCCCCGCGCAGCGCACGCTTCTTCCATAGCAATGAGGAAATATGGGATTTAAGAGCCTCTGGGATTTCTCCCGGGGCTTTGCTGTTTGTTTGATCCAGTGGCTCTGTATGTGAAATGCATGAGCAGCCCAGACTCCAGCACAGCTCCTCTCCCTTCTCCTCGGGTACTCTGAGCACGAGGGTTTTCCCTTCCCCCTGGTCCTGCAACTCTCAGTGCAGCAGCCTGGCATCATTTATGGGCTGGGAAGTGGTTTCACCTCCTAGCCAGGATATAAAGTGGTGGTTAAAACCTGTTCTCAGGTGATGGAGGAGGTGGCAATCTCGGGGGTGAGATGCATCACCCACCTTG